TACATAGAAATAAACCACATTTGAGCATTTTTGAACCTGTAAGCAAATCAGTTTAAAGACACACTCTACCAGATTAGTAGCATACTTCCATAAAGGTGGCTCAGACAAATTGGCACCAGAAGCTGAGATATCCTGACTTTTATTTACTAGTATGGCTCAATCACCAAAAAGACTGTGCAACTTCATTATACCTCCCTGTCACCCAACCATTTCCATCACCACCACATATAGTTATCATATATAGAGATACTGTAAAACAAAGGCCTTTTGTTATACATGCTAAGCATCAAGCACAAGATAAATCAGATGACATTATTAAGGTTATTTCAGTCTTTAGAAAGAGCCACAAAATACAACATGACTGTCTGCATGGTTGAATAGGATGAGTAAGCTGCAGATATTTATTTTAGAAAATGCCAGAGCAGAGCAATGACATGCATCAGTCACACAAATTTTGCTGACATCCAACCAATTAATCTCTTCATTTCTCTGGAGTCTCCAGACAACAACAGAGATGAAACACAGTGATATCAGATGAAGTGGTGTTTTTGCACTAGGAAAATAAAAGACAACCTATACCAGATGTTACTGTAGTTAAGTGCATAGAAGTGGTGAAGTTTTTCAGAATACATCTCCTCGGATTAGTACAAGACCTGTGAGGCTGTATTTATTTGTTTCCCACTTAAGATTATGTTAACGGTAACAAACATTTGCATATTGTAAGATGAATAAATCTTCACTGAATAATGCAGAACTTGCACTTCACTTTGTCATCTATTAAGAGCTCAGGCTCTCCAAAGCAGTGATGCAAACACAGATCGATTTGGCTTGTTACTGTTGAGTTCTGGCAAAGTCAGTACAGATTCACTGTGATTTGATTATGTTCTGTGATGTAGCTGATACATTATGGTCCTTACACTGAATCACAGCAGGATTATTATTTTTTTATAAATTAAAAAAAGCCTAAGAGTGCAAAAGAAAGACAAAAGGGGATTAAAGAAAGAAGAAGGGTAACAGACAGTGATTTTCCTGGCCACTGACAGTATTCCTGTGGCAACCTGAGGCAGAGATGCTATTTTTAGCAGCAGCTCCCCCAGAGAACTGAATGTAAACTTGCCCATGATTAGGATTATGCAAGTGTTGGTGGGCTACAACTGCAATGGTGTCCCATGCTTGAACTCCACTCATTTCTAGATTTGGAAATACTGCCTGTGCAGTTATGTAGACTGGATCATGTCACCGTGATACAGACAGAGTACACAAACACTAATAAATGTCAGCTTTTCCTTGTATGTGCAAAACTTCACTAATTTTCGTCTCTCATTTGACAGTGTCGCATCCACCTTCCGTACATGTACTTGGAAGGAATCTAACGGTATTCCTCGCAGCTCAGCTTTACCTCCTGCTTGGCCCTCTACACTTTTCCAACTGCTCGGCCCCTTTTCATGACATGCTCGGTGGAATATGTTATTTAGTCTTTGTGCCTGAAATTTTAAGCAGGTGCCAATGATGGTAATGATTTTTTTACAAATGTCTGTGTCAAGCTCAAATTGTGTCTAATTAAAGTCCTCTTGTTAAAGTCAGAACAACGTAATTAAGATTGTTAATAAACAAATATGTATGCACACACACACACACGCTTCAGAGGATGAAAAATGTGGTGACTGTGGTGTGGTTGAAACTGCTGAGACTTCAGCCTGAACAGATGCTGCACCACACACCCATTCAGACTGCTGTGCTGACAGGTTGACTGACTCCTTCATGGATGTAAATACTCAACACATCATTTCCCTGTGCAGGCCTCCAGACATAACGCACTGTGACTTTTAGATTTAGTCTGTACACAAACACTCTGGAGCCCATATTGCCCCGCCCCTTCCCCCCAATCTACTTTTTGCAGATTGTGCACTGTCGTTGCCTGTTGGTTAGTGAAGCTACTGGTGGACTAAAGGAAAGTGTTGATCAAACATGTTTACACACTGCTAGACACGGCTGTAAAAATAGATCAGGACTCATTTACCCACATAATTACAGTAACAGTGTAATTAGCATTATTGGTGTAGTTAGTTGTTTGGTAGCTGCAGGATGCTGTACAATATGCCAGTTGAAACTCCTCCAGGGTGCCCTCGCATCCATTTATTACAGCTGCACTTGAACCAGTAGATTTGTGTTGAAATCTGATACTGTCTTGTGTACTCGAGGTTGAACTGAGTCTTACTGTGGCCATGTTTAAAATCTGGTGCAAGTCAGACATATTTTTCTATGAAGAAATATTGTAAATAGAAATATTTTCAATGTATGCTTTTAAATCTTTTGTTGTTTGACTTGTTGAACAGTAGATTTTTTGCCTTAAATTGTAGTTGATGTTGTGTAGTTACAAAATAATTTTATTTGATCAAAGTGTTGAGTTTTACTGTTACTACATGACAAACTGCATTTTATGTAGTGAATATTTTCCTTGACATGTTGTAGATACTGTGTGCGTGTTTGTGTGTGTGAGAACGAGTGTGTTTACATATTTCTCGTAGGGTACGTGAAGTCTTCGTGCAGAGGAATTAGTGCGGCAGGTGGCCAGTGTTTACATACCTGCATGTTCTCACTGCAGCTCACTGCTGCCGGCTTTTCAGAACTGAGTGTGGGTTTTTTATACATTTGGATTGAAACTATGTGTAGCAGGATTACTTGGCTGAGGTTTTGGACCTGTCATGAAAGAAAAGGGGCTTATGAGTTCCTCGGGTGTCTTGGTTTAACTGAAAACTTGCATAGCTGCCAGTAAGGAGCTATCTTTGACTTGTTTTCTTTCATTTCCTGTAGACCATAGGTGGTCCAGTAATTAGCTATTTGATTACTACTATGTATGACTCTCTGTAGTGTTGGCCTTGTAATTGCAATGGGCAAATTAGCATTACTTGGTAACTGTTTAATATTGTAGAAACAATACTGAAATACTTAATTCTGTATTGTTTGGCCTTTAGATTGTTGATACTGAAACAATGTTATCCAAGCAATGAAGTGGTCATTCCCATGCATGTATACACAGTAATCAAAGTGACAAGTGAATAATTAAAGTTTGTGTAACACATTTTCCTGCCCTGATGATACACTGGAGAAATGAAATGTTTAAGCTGAGCAGCATTTTACTGTTAACGGTGTTAGTAAATGGCAAATATTGGTCTAATGGTTAAATGCTGATTGTTCTTTGTATGGTAATTATTTCATATTGTTAAGCAATGGCTATCATTTGTTATGTTTGTGGTGCTCCTAACTAATAAGTTATTTGTAAAAAAAAAAATTAAAAAAATGTAGTAAACAATTATTTATGGACATAAACTTGACCATCACACACTGAATAAAATCAAAATCTGTTTGGATTTATTTGATTTTTTTGATTTGATTTATTCTTTCAAGCATGTAAAGACAGTTGATATATCAACACACATAATTTTACACATATCCAACAAATGCTAATCCAATATCAATTTGCTTATACCTAGTACATGCTTGAATGGAGTAGGAAGAAGTCAGACTTATCCAGTCCTACCCCATGACATCATCTTACCATCATTGGTTTACAAGCAGTATCTCTACATAAATAATTATCTTCTACACCACACAAGTAATATACTAAAAAAATTATAACAGAGTGTTAACATTCTTACATAATTACATTCTTAAATAATTATCTTCTACACCACACAAGTAATATACTAAAGAATTATTACAAAGTGTTAACATTCATACACCACACCCACAATGTT